TTTTATAATTTCTTAAGAAATATATACATATATAATGTATATAAATCAACATGTATCACTTGAGTCATGCAAAAGAATAAAATATTTCTTTTAAAAATCTTACATAATTATGATTATTTTAATCACTTGTTGCTTATATAATCAGATAACATGCAAATATGTTTATTATTTATTGCATGTATTCCGCAGAATACAGTGCGTTCAAATGATTACATGAGAAAATGATCTTCCTTTAAAGAAAAATTTTCTCTCATGACAGATATGATTATAATTCAAATGTATCGTATTCGCGCTGAGCTCATGATTTCGAAAACATTTTGTTATTAACTCTAATTTAAGTTTTAATAGGTTGTTTGTAAAAGTCAATTTTTTTCTCTCTTTATTCGATTCCATTTATGAAGATTTAGTGTCTCGACGTTTAACATGATCTATTAATAACGTAATTAATACTTAATAAAGTCCTAATAATGAATGGATCTTACGTTGTTCTTAGGATGAGGTACGGGACACAACAAAGGACGGGAATGGTTGACTGCGCGCGCGCGCGCGCGTGCAATGTTGCTAAAGATATTAATTAAACAAGATAATTAAACTAGATGCGGGTCAGCTTCACAGTACGGTCCAAATGATCAATTAACGTAAAGACTTAAAGCTTAAGAATTGTTAATCAATACAATGCACACTATGCACTATTTGGGTAACTCGCAACTTAATTTGTACTTAACAGGTCATGCTCAAGAGCATTATTATGAGAGACTCTGACAAAAGTAACAGTTTTTATGAATTCTTTCTTTACAGCAAGAATTGACGTACAAATTGCACGATATCGTTCGTAGAATATCAATTAATAATAAATAGTGTATAGCAATAAATAATAAATTATCAAAGTTATCAAATATACAGTTTCTTAAAAGTTGTACAGCATGATTAAAGTTAAAGTAAATAACCGACACTTTAGATAGGCTATATTCATGGATGCTATCCAGGTATCATTTTATTCTTATTGCTTACCGAATAATAAACAAAGATAACATAATAAGGAGGAAGCATTCGGATAGGAATCTAAACGTGCCCTTAAAATAGGAACCGTTAATGGAGAAAAGAAGGTTGGATGAATTGATAGTTTTCAGGATCACAGGGTAAAAATAAAGACAAAGGAAATATAGTAAAGCACGGTAAATTGAGAAGGACCAGAGTTTTAAGGGGGAGGGGAAGGGAGGAACTGGTATCTCAAGTGTTAATTGGCAAAGATGATTATGTTGCATTACGGGCCTTAATGATGTCTATGACAGTCTCTGTTTGCAATCTTAAGGTTGCCGCAAATTGTGAAAGTAGAGACGAACGCCGACGCACTTTATTCTATTTTGATAACGCTAGCATCCTGGAATACAAACTATTGAAGAATCATGACACTATTATCAGAACAAATGCGAAGGATAATAATCCGTTTTAACGCGTAATAATGACCTTGAATAATCTGATTATTTCTTGCAAATTAATTTAACAGATAAATATAAATACACGATAATACAAATGCGCGCCTCACTACATAGGTGATTTTGAATTTATATTATTGATAAAGTGCTTGAGAATATTAAAATAGTTCCATGTATACAATAGTTAATAATTTTATTTTTCCCACGGATAGCAATTTTATATGTTGAATTTATTTTCT